TCGTTTTAGGAGGACAAGAACATATACAGACACAATCAATAGTCGACTCCCAGAAAAATACGGGGAAATATGGGAAGTGGGGGGGGGAGACGACGACCCAGAAAATATGCGAAAATATGGGGAATCCTCCGATTTGTTTCTATTGATTTGTGTGTCTCTGGGCCCTTCTAAAGTTGTGTAAAAATAAATATGTATGGGGGTACCGCATCGGGGGCGGCAAAGAGGAGGGTTATGACTAGGGGGGGTGGATATCATGGCGGGGGCCATGCTACCTCCCCAGATGTCATGGCGGCTCTTCTTATTTCAATACGTCCCCGGCTCCCCGGCTTTTCTTATTTCAATACGTCCCCGGCCATGATTTGCGCCCCCCCCCGCTTGGCCGGCCCCGACCGCAAGGGAGGTAGGACGAGGTAGGCCAAAAAGCGTGGGAGGGATGTGCCGAAAGGCGGGGCGCCTCATGTGAACGCGCTCAATGGGGGCGAACCGTGTGGCGCGTGCGCCGAAACGGATGGGAACCGTTCTGGACACACGCCCACCGGGGCCCCTAAGGCGAGTTCCCTGTGGGGCCACGACACGTATGAGGGGTGTGCCGAAATGGGCGGGGAGCCACATGTGGACGCACCCACTGGAGTTCCTATGATGTGGAGGTCCGACGAAGCGTGCGAGGTTGTGGGCAGAGAGCTGTGGACCCACGAAACGTGTGAGGGACGTGTGAGGGGTGTGCCGGAATGGGCGGGGAGCCACTTATGAACGCACCCGCTGGGGCCCCTAGGGCGAGATCCCTGAGGAGAGACAAGCGTGTGAGGGGCGCGTTGAAGTGGACGCGAAGCCGCATGTGGACGCACCAACTGAGCTCTCAGGTGGAATTCCTTCTGGGACCACGCAAGGTACGAAGTGTGTACCGACACGGATGGGGGGCGCTATGCGACCCCCCCCTTGCGCCTTAGGTGGAGCTCCTTGTGGGACCATGAAGCGTGTGAGGTGTGTGCCGGAATGGGCTGGAGGCGCTATGCGCTCCCCCTCCTTGGGGCCTTCGGTGACAATGCCTACGGGGCCACGGGCCACATAAGGAACTATGGGAGGAGGGGGGGAGATGCAGAACGTAGAGACAAGGAGAGGAGCAAGGGAGGCGGCAGCTGAAGGAGGTGTGGTCATGAGTCTCTGCGAATTCAAAACCAGGGGGTCCAACACCACAGGACGGCTTGGGAATAACATTAAAGAGCATACAGTACGAGCCCGCCGTTGGCGCCAAGTTGTTTCTGTAAGCCTAAGCGATGTTGGTGGGTCGCGGACGGCTTTTCGGCGGCTCGGCGGGCGAATCGCGCGGCGGGTCGTGGGTGGGTCGCGGGTGGGTCGTGGGGCGGGTCGCGGGGTAGGGTCGAGTGTGGGTCGTGGGGGTGGGTCGGCGGGCGGGTCGTTGGTGGGTCGCGGGTGGGTCGGGGGTGGGTCGCGGGGGTGAGTCGCGGGGCGGGTCGTGGATGGGTCGATGGTTGGGATGGCAAGAAGAGCATGAATCCGCCCAGCGAAACCGCACTGCCCCACGCACCCAGGGACAGTGTAAGGCCGCTCGGCCCTCACTCGAACACTTCAGAGAAGTTTCCACAGTGAGCGAGCCAGAGCGAGCCAGAGCGAGAGAGAAGACGACAACATGCACAGCACACTGCGCCTCGCGGATCCATTACAGGTTACATAATGTACGCTGGTCGTGTGCATTCTGAGTGCACGCGTACGTTAGCATTTGACCCCGAAAGGTCGCTGGAGTAGCCAATAAGAACAGTGTCCCTGGCAGTTGTGGCACCCGGATACTCGAATGGTCGAAAAGGATTCACGCAGCATGCTGTCCGCTCGGCCCGCAGGGCCATCTTGGCTGATCGCGGTGGTAGAGTTCTGCTTTCTCGAGGGTCGCAGCGAACATGCATTGCGCGGGGCTTGCAGGGCTCGCAGGACTCTGTCTGCCACGGGCCCTCCAATCGTGCCCTGGGTGCCCAGGGCGCGCTGGCCCCATTGGGCTCCGTATGAGATCCAGGGCCTGGCGCACGGTGCCCTCTTTGGCTTTTCGACGTCGCAGTGGTTGCAAGCCTCCTGCGACGCACAGCGCTGGGCGAGCGTGAGGAGTCGCAGGTGTCCTGGCACTCGCAGGGTTCCTCCCCGGGCCCCTCTGCCCCCGGAGGGCTCGCAAGCTTCACAGGGCTCGTCGGCTTGATGTAGCTCGTGCGGTTCGCAGTCTTCCCAACCTCCTCCGCCTCCTCCTCCTCCTCCTCCTCCTCCTCTCCCCCTTCCTCCTCCCCCGCCTCCGCCTCCTGCGGTTCGCATTCTTCACAGAGCTCACAAGGCCCACAAGAGCTTGGATGTTCATTTCGCGTCTCGCTGGGTTTTATGTCCCGAAGGCGTACAGTACTCAGATGGTGTGTTGTCCCCTCGTCCAAGGTTTCGGTCGGAGCCGTGATCGCAAGGCCAACAGAAGTCCCCGGGTCGCTTGTGAGTGCGCCAATGTAGGTAT